TTTAAAAAATAATACAGTATATACTGACAGATCTTGATTAACAACTCTGAACTGAAGCATACATTTTCTTTCAGCGTATCATTTAGTTCTGATTCTCAAAAAAAAAAAAAAAAAACAGTCTACCGTGGGATATAAAGTTTCAATATTACTCCAAGGCAGGCCATCTAGCAATGACTGTGTGGTCAGAAATATGTTTGGTTTAGCAGTTATGGGAATCTAGACTTAAATCCAGTTGGTTTTTAATTCAGCTGAATCACCAGAGCTTGATGAGATGCCATGAGGCTGTCTAAGAGAAAGCAGATCTTTCACAATGGAAGAGCTGACGTCACCCTCGTAGCTGCCAAACCAGCAGCTTGCTTTTTTTTCTTTTTTCTTTTTTTTTTTTTTTTTTTTAAGACAAAACAAAGCTACAAAAATGGTACAAACTACTATATTTTGGGGTTTTTCTTCCCAAAAAAAATTTTAAAAATGGAAATCAGATTTTTACTTTGTTAACTTTTAAACTATTTTATGTGCTTTATTTGAGCTTTTGTACCATTCACATCACAGAGAAAAAGACGTTCAAGTTTCAATGTAATACTAGTTCTGATGGTTTTAATTTTCTTAATTTACTACCAAGCTCTAAAATTAATAGAAAATATGAGCGTTTCAAGCACAATCCTGGAAGAGACCAGATCATTCACACCAGTGTCCTACTTTTGAGGCAGTCTCTCAGCCATTCACTCCTCATTTGGTGGGGGGTGGAGGAGTGGGAAGCATTATGCAGAAATGACTAGGATAACAAAAATAATGGCAAGGCTAGAATGGCAGGACCACGTATCTTCTCCCTCAGGCCCCAGCCTCACTAGCAGCCAGCCAGCACTGGGAGTGCAGCCTCTGCCTCCTGCATGACCCAGCTCAACCCTGCCTTGCTCTGGCACCTCCTTGGGTGAGGGCATTCAACCCACCCGCCCAGAGGAAACCCATCTATTCATCACCCCAGCTGAGCAGCTGAATCAGACCATGGACGTATCTGATGGGCACTGGAATAAGTGTGAAAGAAACACTGAGAGGATGTGGCTAACGAAGGGGAGAGGAGGAAGCAACCAACTGCTGTCACTTCAGCCCATGACATGAGACAGAAACCTGAGAGCTGTATTTCAGAGCCATCAGCAGTCTCACCTATCCCCAGAAATACTTTCCAGTCTCTTCCTTTGTGTCAGGACTAGCGCTCGGCAAAGTTGTATTCTGCAACTGACCCTGGGAATGTATTCAAGAGAAAGAAAGAGCCTATTACAGTCTGAACCAATATCCTGACTCCTTTCATAGCTTGACTATATAAATGGCTTTGGCTACCCAAGACAGTGGGGAGTGGAGCTGAGCACATATGGGAAGCAGGACTTGCACATATGGGAGGCAGAACGTGCTCCTTGGTAAGCATTATCAACCTATACTACCTTAAACTACTATGCTACTTGGAAAAAAAAAATACTGCTTCCAGCTGAGGTTTCCTGGTGGCTTGAACTGATGGAGCTGCCAGGAGCAGTTTGCCATCACCAGCCATCCACTCCATCCACTTGCTCCCAGTCATACAGTTAAAGGGAAAACTAATTTATCCGGTTGATTTGGTAGAAGTCTTTCCTATTTATTTATTTTGATTTATTTATTATTTTCTAGGCTAGTTTGGCTGGCTAATCTGGTAGAAAAAAACATCTTTTCATGCAATTTCCAGCTCCAGGGAAGTAGAAAAGGTTGGGAGGAAAGAGCAGTAGTTCACCAAAGGCCTGGCTTTGCCACTGAGGCCACACTGGACCCTCCTCAGCACTTGGGTTTATGGCCTTCACCCCAGTCTCACACTCCGAGGGCGACGCTGCCTCCTCTGTGAAACCACCACAAGGGCTGTGGGTTAGCACTGCAAACCAGATCAGCTCTCTCGAATGGAAAGATTATTTTTAACCCTGGACTACCATAGGTCACTGCCATAGGTCAGGAGCAGCAAGAGGGCAAGAGCCTGCAGCTGAGGACAGAAACTCCTTTTTGGCACCAACCAAGGGGAAGGGAACAAATAACAAACTGCAGTCTGAGAAGCTGCAAGGAAGATACAAACCATGCGGATGAAGAAAGCTGAGCTCACAGATAAATGGCAATTGTGTGGGACAGCAAAAGAAGCCCTGTCAGGCTCTTGTACCATGGAACTGCAGTCACACTAGAGTGTTTTTCCTCTTACGTTGTTCATTTTTAACAGTAGGAACAAAGTACAGTGCTTTGACACAAGACTAGAGTATGGCTAGGGAATTTTACTTACTATCAGACACAAGTTTCTGAAGACAGGTTTTTAAATGACAAAATGCACTGGACCTGCTGGTGTAACCTCAACTGATGCCTCAGAGCTTGAAAAATTGCATGTTACCCCATGAGCAGTAAACTCACAGGCTCTAATAGACCAGAGGGGCAAAAAATGTAGTTTGCTCTGTAATCCAGCTAGCACTTTCAAGCTTCAATCTGTGTTGCACACTTAGCTTCGTTACGACTAAATTATTTCTTTTGCTCAAGTTCTTCCTTGAAAGCATTTAGTCACAGAGATGTAAAAGTTTTGAATAAAATACAACTCAAATTTTCTATTTCAATTAAAAATCCATAAATTACACAACTTCCTATGGTTCATATTCTAAAAAAATATATATGAAATTGGCTTATTCAGGCAGATATGAAGATAAATTTATCCATTAACTAAAAATAACATATATGTAACCATTAAGTAATACATACACTGAAAGAATTAAATAATACATGCACTGAAAGAATATATGAATAATTTGCAAAAACTCAAAAAGGTACAGGAACATGGAGCTGGACCAAGTGCAAGTATAATGATAACCCTGTGTGTGCACAACCACCACAACGCAGTGCCTTTCTTAATTACATGATCAGAGCCCTCCTAGTTTAACCCCAACCTCCTGGAAGGCTTATTTTGTTTATGTTTAATAAGATCTTGAGATTCAATTTCCTATTTGCTGCTCTGCAGTACTCTGCAAACCCAAAGGTTTGGCTAATCTACATCTTCCAGTCATTACTTTCTATTTCGCTTTCTACAGAAAAGAAAATATTAGTACAATATGGACGCTCCATCTGGCTTTAGGTCAAGGGAAATTTTAAATGGACTTGGATAGTCCACATGCAAGATGGGCGTAAAGAGGCCAAAGACTTAATAATCAACACAGAAGGTGAAAAGGAGCTGAGCAAAACAAATATGTTTGTACTTTCAACTGTAGACAAATGAACACTTCGATCTCAAAGCAGGACAAGGAGACAAAGCAGGACTACCCTGGTCAAAAACATCATCATAAATAAATGACCCATTAATAAAATGGCCCATTCCCGAAAGCACAAAATCATTCCAACTTTCAATCAGTTTAAAAAGAAATTAAGCGTATTAGCATAATAATTCAAGTACAAAGAAATCTGGATTCTTCTCTCCCAGCACTAAATTATAAATTAACGTTCTCTGTGCCTTACAAGTGATTCAGAGTATTTAAAAGAATGCTGATCTGAGAAATGCAGTTTTATACCACTGTTACACGTGACAAAAATATTCTTATCAAATCTGTCAGTAACAATTAATTGCTCTCAAATACTTTGAGAATATTATTATAAAATCAAAATGAAGAACCACCAGTGTATGCAGCTGAGCACTGCCTGATTTTGACTGTTAGTGCTATTACAGTGGAAAGGAAAGTAGGCAGCAAGGAAAGTTGCCAAGGTTGTCTTTGCTGAGGAGAGAGAGAAATCCATGGTACGTAAGGGAATGCTAGTAATGAGTTACATTAAAAAAAAAAAAGTGATTCTAGTTTTCAAACATCTCTGGGAAAGCACTTTCTGTACTTAGGCTCCTGAGCACTTCCTTTTCTCATCCACCTTGTATTTAACCAGGAAAGTGCCTATTCCAACACCTCAGCTGAGCTCTGTCATGACAGTGCCCACAAGCAAAAAGATGGTCTCTGAAGCATGCCTCAAAATACCACATCAGGGCCAAACATTACACAGGAATGCTACAGCTCACTGAGTGCCCTTTGAAGGGAAATTGGAGAGGCTACACCTTAATTCCATCAGTATGTAGGAATTATCTGCAGGCAGTGCTGTCCGGCCAGCATTAGCTATGTGCAATGTGGTCCTTTCCCAGAGCAGCACCACAGAACTAGACGTGCACTGCAGAGGACCTTATCCATTTCCATCAAGCTACTTGAGAGCAACTCCCATCTATCTTGCAGACCACTGCCTGCATGGTACTAGTTTCCCTTTGTTGGGATTTACTTCATTTAATGAAACGCAGGAATGCTATAAAAACACTGGAAAGGACACATTCCAATGCTCTGCATGAAAAAATCTCTGTTAGAAGAGTTCGTAGTCCTTAGCAAACTAATAATGTTGAATCATAAAAAAGACCATGTTTAGAAAGCTACACAACTGGCAAACTTAAGCTCCAGCTCATGTGAAAGATCCAATTCATGTGATGTTGGAACAAAAACAGCCACGAAGTTTGGAACTTCTTTGCTTCACTCAAGCTCAGGTTTTCCATTTGCAAGGTCAATAACACAACTATATGACATAAATATCGTATAGAAAAATACTGAGAGTAGGTAGTGCAAGCAGTTCAGTGGCAGCTACCTACTAAGTTTGGGGTTTTTGCTTTGCTTTGTTTTATTTTTTTGGCAGTGTTCCTCCCCGTACACCTCAGGTACCTGTCTGCTCCTCAGCAATCCCACGTCCTAAAGCACTTCATTTATATCTTAGAGTCAGAGCTCTGTGAAATGGAGACTGCGTGGGGATCGTGATTTAGGATGTATTTATGGTGCCTGGGGAATGATGTTCCTGTATCTTTAAGCTAAGCTATTCCCAAGCAGAAAGCATCCTACTCTATTTTGCTTCACCCTGAATGAAATACTTTGCTAAAGGAAAACACATAGAACATTAGGAAGACAAACTGTGTTTAACAAGCTTTCAAAAATCAATAGTATACTCACATGGAGAATCATCCACAAACATGGGGTCTATGTTATGAAGCAGTTCAATTCTGGGAGATGCTTTTCCTTCACTGAGAGAGATTTCAAAAGGAAATGTTAATTTCTTTTTACAGCTCACTAGGATTATGCATGTTTTATTTTTCTCATTCTAATACAAAACAAGTTCATACACATAAATTAATTACCATCAACTTTAATGGGAATGTTCTTTCAAGACCCAGTAGCAACAGCTTTTGCCACAGTCTTCCCTGACCTCCCTTCTGGTTACTGAAATCACTCGTGAATTACTCAAGAATTACACGAAAGCAGAGTTTCACAATACCCAACTTTAAAATTAAAATGTAGCAGTAAATATTAGCATGATAGACTTGTCTTTGGGCACATCCTCTGGAAACCCCCACGAGAACCATCACCCAGGAGCACTGAAGGCATTTGACAAGGTGCCTCACAGAGTGCCCTGGCTCGGCCACCCCTCAAAAACCAAACTACCTCCAACAACTTCCAAATGACTTCAATTCTCTCTCTCTCTCAAAAAAAAAAAAAAAAAAAAAAAAAAAAAAAAAGAATAAGCAGAAAAGATTATCCAGGCCCCTGAACCACCTGACATTAAGAATACAGAATCAAGTAATATAAAACTTATAGGAAATTCAGGAAACCTCCAAAAGAGGCCAATGCATACTTTAATATGCATTCGTGAAGAAAGTCTTTATAATTAACAATACTTACATGCAGCTTAAAGCTTTCAGTAAACAATTAATTAAAATCAATATTGTTCTATTATCTTTCTAAAAAAAATTCATTTTGATTAAATATAAAACTACCATGGAGGATTACCTAAAGGACTAAAGGTAGGGAGATGATACATTTGTTTCATTAATGCACAGAAGTTCTTCAGACTACAGCATTATGAATTCAGTGTGCAAAAAACTGTCAGAAAGAAATGTTTTCCCCCCAAAACATGTAAAAAGTTAGCTTTTTTTCCCCCCCCTCTAGTATCTTTACTAGTCACATGCCTAACTAAGAGTGTCTGGCCTTATTTAGCAGAATCCGTGCTTCCCAGCCAGTCAACCTGGGGTTATTCCTCCCAGCACTTGTCCTTGTTCAATCTCATGAGGTTCCTCTCTGCCCAGCTCTCTAAACTGTCTAGGTCCATGGTTAATGTGCCTAGATTAATTGCAGTTATGAAATCAGCTAGTTTATTCTGAGAATTTCACTGTGTTCTTTCCTGCAATGTTTTAAAAACATAAGGAAAGACCTCTTATCCGTTAGTGAACTTGAACAAAAATCTACACGTGATCTTTCACACTGGTCTTTTTTGTTTTTTAATAGGCACAAGGTGTCCTTGGGAAGGAATCCAAGGTTTTCAAGGGTAAATTTATCTCACAAAAACATCCTCAATGCTACTAGGCAAAAGCTTTTGTAATACATTGCCATATACTGCATTCCTCTGGGTCATATCTGTACACATTTCCCTAAAACAATTATTTTTCAGATATGCCACTAAAAGAGCTGAGTATAACATTTAGATATCTCGTTCTTCAGCATTCCTTTAAAACCAAAATTAGCTGTCAGATTTTTTTTTCCCCAACAAGCATTTAATTCCTCATATTAATGTAATCATTTGGTATATTAAAAAAACAAGTTGATCTTGCTTTGTTTACTTCATCCAATCAATTCTTGTATTTCTGACATTATCAAAATATAAAACTCTGACAAAATGCTGACAAGCATTTTGAAGACAAGTTGACTATTTTGACTGCATTTTTTCCTCAGTTCTCTCACTCCCTATCATACTGCCACACACGCTTTACTGTAATCAACACTGTGGCTTTTCATTTTCCTGTTAATGCAAAACAAAATGCTTTTTTTTGTTCTGAGCAAGGACATACTAGATATTCAGTACTGAAGAACAAACTATATCAAAACAATACATTGACCAGGGCAGCTTTCTACAAACAGAAAATTAATTTGACTCACATTATCATTGCAATGGAGCAGCAAATATCCAGAAAACAGATATTTCTTAGAAATGCAAGCACCTTTTGGGGCACTTGCTCAGAAATTTGCTGTTCAGTCTGGATTGCCTCACAGATAGCATTTCCTTTTTTTTTTTTTTTACTAAGCGTTCTTGGTATTCTTGATTGTCCTTTTTGTAAAAGTTTCCCAACTGATAGCGTTTTTTTTTTTTAATACAATTTCTAAATATGTACATGGTTTTAGAGCTTCCAGGTACAGCTGTAGCAGTAGGTATTGCAGCTGTATTTATGACAACCTAAGGTACTATCTACTATGATTTACTTGAGATTGAAGTTTCAGTCAGGTGGGCAGAAATATTTTGGGAGTGAAGAGTTGCATCAAAGGGGCTGAATAGCTGAGACCAGCAGCAATGAGCTGCAGTGGCAGAGGAAAACCTATCTAACAGCCCTATGGGAACTCTGGAAAGAATTCCTGTTGCCATGTCCCACAGGCAGATTTTGGGGAATCCGGATAGCCAGGAGCGGGCAGACACAATGATGCCATGTTATTTACATTTATTAGCTAGGTAAGATAGGAGGACAAAAGAGAGTTTTTTTCTTTTTTGGTGACCAATAAACTATTTGCTTCTGAAGCCGAATTTTCATGACATTTGCTCCTAACCATCATCTTCCTTATGATGCTTGTGTTAACGAACAGTTGCAGACACATTGGCACTTCTCTTTACCTCGAGAACATAATATAATCCATGTCATGTGAATACAATTCATAATGTGGACTAGCAAACAACTTAAAATCAGTACAAAAACTTAATTTTGTTTAAGGATTTCAGAATTTATATAAATGAGAATACAAATACATCATGCCTCTGAAAATGGATGGGTTTTTTATAGTTAAGAGATCAGACAGATACTGGAATGAATCCCATATTCCTGAGACTTATACATTTTGAACATCTAAATGAAGGGTCTAAATTTTTATCCTTTTTTCCATTGCTTACCCACATATCTAACAAGAGGTTTTAGATTAAAGTAATTCATCACAAGAAGCATATGAATATTTTTATTAGACGGTGCTGATAAAACATAGTTGTCACGTGGTAGCAGTCTATTAACAACTTCTTTTCAAACAGGGGCAGAATATTAGCAAATTCTATTATTTCACTCATTATGAGCCCCCTGCTCCTAGAAACATGATGTGTTTGAACTTTCCATCAAACCTCACCGAAAGGGCATTGTGCCTTTGTTGTTCACTATCCTATTCAAGTGACCTTTTGAGTTATGATCAGGAAATTTGGCACGCTCATTTCTCTTGATTCTAAGTGAAAACCGTGTAAAATTTGACATTTCTGGCATAGGTCAGCCAAGTAGTCATCTAACAGTTCACAAAAACTGACTTCTTTTCCTCCGAGAAAGTCACACTAGACACTGACTCTCCAGGCTGGAATAATTAAAAGACAAACAAATAAACAAATCTGAGCTCACTACTTCCCTAGCTGTATTAGTAAAAGTGACATTCAGTCCTTATGTGAGCTGGACTTGAGTGCCAGGAGCATGCAGGGAGGCACAGCTGTACCTATCTTGCACTGCATATACAAATTTTACCACTAAAGTGATCTGATCTGGGAAGATCAGTTCGTGACAAAGAATACCTGGCTGAAACAGGATATGAGGCAGATGAGTATTCTCTTGCAGGAAAAGTCAGCCTATGGTTTAGGAGTATGCTGGGATCCTGCAGGCACGATGCAGGATCAAAACCATCAACACGTAAAACACTTCACCGTCCCTGGCTGGGCGGGAGACTCCATTCCTTTCTGTGAGCTAATGATCTCCGGTTCAATTATATACCTCTGTGTCTTCTTCCATGTGGAAGCGAGCCACACAGTGCACCTGGGCACGAGGCCACAAGCTCTCTGACATTCCAGCTAGGATGGTTCCTCACAACGCAGGTTCTCAGAAAGAGACTGCACCAAGAAAACAAGTAAGGCAGGACCCAAACGCTCTCCAAGCTCGCAGGGTTTGGATAACCCATGTAACACAGAGGTGCACAGAGCCAGAGGGAGCCCAGAACAAGTTCATGAGCTTGGTCTCATTGGCAGCTCTGTTGCAGCTGAGCTGCCTCCTGCACAGCCACCTAGGCCTTTCCCCGCTGCATTCCCAAGTGTGCTGGCTTGCTAAAGGGAGCACAGCAGCACAACCTGACAGGAGCCAGGTCAGGTCTTGCACTGCCCCCAACTTCACAGGCTTTCTAAGAACATGGATGTGCTGGACATTATGTCACAGATGGTTATACTTTGAGTATAACCATCTAAGCAAATGGTTATACTTCGAGTAACTGAAAGGACCTGTACTGAGTTAAACAAATCCTGCAAATTCAAAGCTGAATCCACACTCAGCTGATTTAACATCTGCACAGATTTCCCATATGTCCAATTCCAGAAACATACTGCAGAAATACCAATTTGGTTCTGTAGGAAGGAGGGCTGCGTTCATTAAATTCACTATATTTTACGCTACAGTGTGCAAAATCAGCTAATGTACTTCTGATTCACAGAGAACTCTAGAAGCAGTACCCCACATTTTAGCAATGTCATGTCTATGCTAAACAAACTCAGGCTAACCTTGTGTGGAGATTTTGAATCTGTGACCAGGATTAATCTACAACCTGGGTAATTTTCTCAGTAACCAAGTTAACTGCACTTAAACCTTCCCTTTACTTAGGGGAAAGAACATTTACACTTTCCCCCCCAATTCCAGCTCTGTTCTCTAGGCTCATTAAATTCTTTTCATGCTAGAATTCTGACTCAGTCATTAGGCATGCAAGTTACCTGATAGTTTTCCAAACATCAAAGCCATCCAGAGGCTTAGTGCCATTGGTACGCCCTCCAGCCAGGTGTACCAGCGTTGGCAGCCAGTCGGAGATATGGATAAGTTCGTGGCTTTCTACACCTTTCCGCTTCAGCAAAGGACTCGCCACAAAGCCTACTCCTCTCACTCCTCCTTCCCAAAGAGTCCATTTTCTTCCTCTCAGTGGCCAGTTGTTTCCACCTGACAAAGTTTGTCCTCCATTATCTGAAATATGAGCAATTTAAATAAATTGTTAGAAAGTAACTAAAAAAACCCCAAAGTAATATTTACTCATTCATTTTAAAATATTTTCACAAGACAGTACACAAGGACTTGTATGTCATTATTTGGGTGTTTATACATGCTGCATATTCAGACCATAAATTCTTATAATGCAGAGTAGCAATGTCCTGCATTACCACAAGCTGATGATTTAGAATGGTACCAGTAAGGGCAGCCCCTGATGGTTTCAAACATTTAGACTTCCAAAGCTTTCAGAATCAAAGACCTTAAATACTTAGTTCCAATTATTTACCTAGAACTACATCAGGAGCTGCTGTCGATGCCTTTGTTAGTACTCAAACCACTCTATCATTCTATTTTCAAATACTTTAGAAAGCAAAGCTGTTACTCCAGAGTCCAGACAACACTCATAGCCTGGAACAATTTTTAAGCAGCATGTGATTTGTGATGTCACATAAAACTGACAGATTCTTGAGCAAAAATAGAAAGTCTGAATGAAAAGAACTACAGTTAAAACAATCTGCAAATACACTGAATCTATTATGTCTGGTGAGAACACCACACCACATGAAGTTGTTACAGAAAAAGATGAACTGTTATGAAATTAACTCAGAAATATCTGTATGAATTACTGTTTTCATGAATACTATTTTCAATAGCAGGTATTGAACTGACATTCAGTATTACTTTGCCTTGTTTATATTTTGAGTAATTTTTTTAAAAAACTAGAAATTTGAGGGAAGAAACAGGAAATACATTTCCAGTATGTTACAGAAGAAGCTTCCTATAGCTGACATACACCAAAAAGATCCCACTTCTGTTTCATTGACTAGATATCAAGGTAACCCCCTACTGTCTACCGTGCACAAGAGACTCCCCTTAGTTTGACTAAGGGACAAAATAGGGCAAGCAGCAACCAGGTAGAGGCCACCGATATTTCTCATGCAAGGATGATGTTGAGCACTAATATCTGAGAACTCAAACTGCAGTTGCCAGTGACAGAAAAGGCACCAGTTCTGGCAAGGATCCTTTATAAGTATAAATAGCGTGTGTCAGGAATACTCAGGGATCTTCTGTAGCTATTAACCCTGAGTGGCATTATAATAAATGAGATCTTATCTCCACTCTGTTGAAACAAAGTTTGGACATGAGTAATCAAATTATAAATATTTAAAACATCTTCCTCGTACCAAAAGCTACTGGTTTCCTATATCAGTTCAATACTTGCATGAGAGTTAGTTCAGCCCTGAATGAGACTATCAGCAATGAAACAGCAAGGAAATTATAGCAGTTGAGTGTTTTGAGGCATAAAGAGGGAAGAATGTGTATTTCCTGGATTACAGTCAAATTTGATTATATTTCAATTTTTTTTTTCCTGAGACTTTATTATTTTTAGCTTAGTTGAAGACATCCACACCCTCCCACTTTCATTATGCTTTTTTTTCCTTCCATTGAGCTTTCTGGGACAAGCACTCCCTCTAACATATAACTGGTAAAGCACCATGTGCAATATCAGTATTCAGACAACACAAATGCATACAAAACAGGGAAAAATAATTGTTCTTGTTTGGATAACATCTGGCACGGAAATGAAACAAAACCGCAAATATCCATCGGCATATGAAACAAGCTTCAACCTGCTCATTTTTAATTCTCATTTTCACAATGCTAGAACTTGTAATTTCCTTCTCCCCAAGGAGTCACATTCAAGTAATCCTTTTTGCTTGATTTTCTGACTAAATTATCAGTAAATTTTTGAGGTAGGGAAAATGATGATTTTTGCTTTGATTCCTAAGGTTTGTTTCCTTTCCAGACAATCCCAGCAGAGCTGTGATGCTTCAGTGTACTTTTGATAGATTTTATCTTTCAAATAATCTAAAACTTTGATAGCAGTTCATATAGAAGGGAAACCACTTTTTTTTTCAAAGTTAAATCTAAACTGCTTTTGCTTTGCCTTAGTTATTAATATCAAAGTTAGCAATCATTATCAAATAATATGTTAAAGAGGGGAAGCACAATATTGAAATATCATAATGAAGTCGGTTTTGATGAAATGTCAAACTAACTAGTAATTAACAAAAAGGTGTGGGGGGGAAGGAGAATAAACAAGTTTCAGCTATTGCCTAAGCAATAAATTTGGGAGAGCCTTGAAAAACGGGAGGCCAGGCAAGATCAGATTGAGCCCAAGGCCTGTTCAAAGGCCATACCAGCTACTCATCTCCAACATGCTCATTCTGGTGCATCACGCTGCCACCACGCTCACTCCTTGGAGCTCACTGACTCTGCCCATCTTTCCTGGGAAAACTCCCTGCCTCTTACCACATACAGACGCCTTGCGCATTCCAGAAGATAGGAAACTACACCAGGTGGGTCAAATGTTTCAGCGGTTTGAGTTGATCCCAGGGGACTGATGACTCACTTTGCCATCCTGCCATGGGTTTACTTTAGTGCTGCTAATTCTGAATAGTCCTTCCTAAACCAAAGACACATTCAAGTAGGTTTTCTCCCTGAGAACGCTTTCATGTGAAGTTCTCTAGACCTCTACTTTATCCTTCCTTCCACTCCATGTGTTTTTCCCTTTCGTATTACATATTCTGTGCCCACGGAAGAGGCTCTGTCATAGCAGCCAAACAATTCCTCCAGTCTACTATCACAATGCCTATGAGCACTAATAAGGACCAATAAAACCAGTTTGTCTTACGCTAAAGCACAAGAAATGCTGACAGAAAAGCTCCACAAACTGGCTTTACTACTGACTCCTGTCCGCTGAGGTGTGCAGAATGGGAGTTCTGCTGCATGCAGCCTGCCAGGATGTGCCCGGACAGGAGGAGACAAAGTGGCTCGTGTGCGTGTGTGTGTGTGTGTGTGTGTGTGTGTGCGCGCGCTCGCACACGCACATGCAGACACCTTTCACCTAAACTACAGGTGGGGAAACTTCCCATGGGTGCGAAAAGTCAGCAGGGATTCACAATGAGAGGGGAAAAAAAAAAAACCAAGATGAAGAATCACTGATTCGCTGACAGTTCTTTAAAGAAAAGCTATCACAGCTGCCACAGGAATTTCTCTAACCACAAATTGCTAGACGTTACAACATGCTCTGGAGAAAGACACCAGTCAGGAGTTTGGAGACTCTTTCTGAGGCATCTGCTACCAGGCATTGCCATAGGGAGAGGATACTTGGCTAGCTGGATTTTTGGTCTGTGGTATTAAGGACATTCTAATGCTCTCCCAAATAAGTAATTCCTTACTAATTCCTCATACCTTGAACCTGGAATAAACTCCAAAGACCACATGGAAAATCCCGGTGGTTTAACACACACACCTAATATCTACTTGGGTAAAAGACTTGGGTAAAAGACAAATAAAATGGGATCGTTGTTGCTTCATGTTCTACACTGGTTCCTCATCCAAACCACTTCAAAACAACTTTTCCTCAATGATTCTCATCCATTGTTGAAATCGATTCTTTTAATGAATCATCATAATACATAATCTCAGCAGACAGTCTCTAAAGCTTTTAGAAGAAGGATAGCAACAAGTGGCCCTGATTTATAGTATCTCTTCTTCTTAAAGCCTGAGTTTTGCTACTTCAGCTGAAAACACAAGACTCTCCCAAGCATGATATGACAACTTGTTCTTTCCTTACAAAATCATTAAATGAGATTTTCATTAAAAATAACAGTGAAATAGTCTGGAAAGGGGAGTGAACATATTTTTTTTCCTATCTGGAAGAATTATTTTTGTATTTATACCTATATAACACAGACTTTAGTACTACCCACAATGTATTATGTGCATTACAAAAATTTTAAAACAAATCAGCTCTTGTCCTAAAGAAAGGATGAAAGGGGAGAGAATTAGGTTATAATTAGAAGTGATGTTAGTTGGTATAAGCATTATTTGACTAATTTATTTAGTTTTGTTTATTTTCTTAAATGGAAGCATCATATGGTTCTAAAGAGCTTTGCTGCTGGCTTGGTTCAAGTTGAATAATAAATGTTTAGCTAGTTTTTTTCTCTTCTTATTTTTATCACTACCACCATTCTGTGCCATTTTAAGGAAGGGATACCCAAGATGTTCTTTTTCATTCTGATGGGATTTTCTTCTACAGACTGAAATTTATCAAAATGAAAGAGAATATTGAGGAGAGACATCTTTGCTGATCCAGGGATACCAGGGCTGGAACATAGCAGTTTGTATCACAACCACCAAAACCCCTCAAAAACATTAAAGATTTGGTCAAAACAAGGACAAAATTATTGAAAAGCATTTTAAAGCAGCATCCTGACTCTCTTAAAATGTAGTTTTGATGAAAGTAACCCCTCTTGGAACTCTCAGCCATGTTAACTATGGAAGAAATTGTAAAATGTAGCAATTGGATCATAAACACTAATGATATGCTGCACTGATATGGGAAGAGATGTGATTTCTGCTCTACAAAAGAAACCTAAAAGCTTGAAAGAAAAAAAAAAGAAAAAAGAAAAGAAAAAAAAAAGCAGAAACATATTGCTAGGTTTGAGTGTGGGAGAGAACCTGCAACTTTTTAAAAACTATCATTCTTGGCTTCTCCTAATCTTGAAAGCAATGGCTGCTGGAAGGGTACACATTCATCCCTGTCTCTAGCACATTCACAGCATTCCAGGGAAACCTGTGGCAACCACATAGTCACAAACTGAATAGTTTCAAAAGGACAGTAACCATTTCTGAAGGTCAAGGATTGGGCTGTAAGATCACCTGCGTTTTAAAACGTTAAGAGTACATAGACATGAAAGTCAGGCTTATCTCCTTAATGTTATCATTCTCTCTCAATTCATCTCATTCCCATTCAGCATCTCCTGTGAGCAACGCTGTCCTCCCTTTCAGTCAAAGGCTAGGAATCCCTAGTCAAGGACTAGAGATCTGTGAAACAGATTATTGAAAAGCCCAAACCACCACCACCAACACCACCACCAACAACCCCCACAGAAAACTGTCATATTCAA